TACCTCCTAATATCAGACCACACAGCTCACACATTCAAACTAAACAGGGGCCTTACATCTCCTGACAATACAGATCTTCATCAAATCCTCATCACCTTTAGAAGAACTCAGAATAAATAACATTTCTTCACCAAACTCTAATCCTGGTTTAACACGTATTCATGTCAATGTATTTAATTAGCCTCTCCTAACGACAACCCTTAGACCAGCCCAGAACATTTCATATGTCAGAAACACAACCAATTTTCAATCACCTCCCCTGTTTTTCCCCCCTCCTTCCCTGTTTTCAGCACTCCTTGGTCTGCTCTACCTTGAACTCCTGCATGTAATCCATGACATCTAAATATAGGTTCTTTCCTCATCCCATCTATCCTAGTCTTCAACTTTGTATAAGCATCTGTGCAGAAGGCAGTCACCTTAAGTCCCACAAGCTTTGTAACATCCAGATTTTTTCCTTCCTACTTTATCAGCCTTGGGGAAAAATAAATCAGGTGCTAGATGATTAAACTACTGAAGGGCCCCGAGATAACTATACCATTTCCTCCACAGTAGCAGGGCCCTTGGTTCTCAGTCGAAGTGTTTCTCTCCCTTTGGAGATTTTAGCCACAGACAGAATTCCACCTTTGGACCTTGGTTCCAGCTTTTCTAAAGACAAAACAAAGAACAAAAATAAAAGCACCAAACAAAACTAAGTGGTATATCAGAATATAATGCATCTGCTTTGGTTATTACATTATCTTCCCTTTTTACTGCAATCAAGATCTGGATGCATGTAAAAATTTAATTATAAATAAACTGCATTCTAATTATCACTTTGCTGACAATTTCTTGTCTTCAAACTCTGATATCTGCTCAACTGCATTGAAGCTAGGACTTCCATTGACCAATGTATCTAAGCAACCTACAGCATTGACTTAATATGTGCACCTTGTATAGCTTTATCTTCCTATTCTACAGAGAAGTACATGGGAGTTACATAGTGATTCTGGAAAGCACTAGAAAGGAGCAGAGAATTTTGAAGAACTGTTTTAACCTGTCCTGTTTTCTCTAACAGACTACTCCTCCTAACAGCAGGCCTTTCTGCTAAGCTCTTGAAGGCAAGACTTTAACATGTTATATCAGTTTTGCTCAGAGAGATTCCAACTCATCATTCTCGTATAGCCAGTCACAAACCCAGATTATTATGCTGAACAGGTCTTGAAAAGTAAATTTTATTAGCTTTTATTTTAACAAATAGATATGGCACCGTCTCATATGTATATATACTTAGGATTAATGCTTTTCCTTTATTCTTTTATTGCTGCAAGGGCAGTTTAAGAATGTCAGCATTTCTGCTAACTTGCTTCAAAAACTCATTCCTGATACAAAATACATATTTTTCTAGTTCTGTCACCATTAGCAGTTTAAAACTCATAATTTGACATAATCTTTATTTGCAGCACTTCAGACCAAAGCTCTCTGACCATCACAGAAAGCATTTTTTATATTCACATAATTAAAATGTAGAGTTTATGCTATGCTGCCTTAACTTTGTTTCTATTAACTTTTCACAGTTCATAGAGGGCCAGCTTGTGACTGGTACAAGTCTTTATTTCTGTGTTACAAGCCTTGTCTAGAGTAGCTGAGGTAGCCTGTGTGCACATGGTAGAAAGATATCCAAGCAGTAAATTATACTTATTCCAGAATCTGCTGAGAGGAAGAAAAATAAAAGTAATTTCACACAGAGACTTGTCACTTATTTCTATATCCTCACCAGCTTCTGCTGAAACTAACAGGAATTCAGCACCTACTTGTTAAGCAGGATCTGGATCTTGTTTATTATCTTCTCTGGGGCTATTCTCAGCATGCTGCAGCTTGAACACTGTCTTGAATAAATTTCTGCCTGAAGCCTAACTGCACCTGAAGCTAGAGGCAGGATGTTCTAGTCTACCACGCACTGCAAATTAATTTCTGTAGGGTAAAATATGACATGCATCTTCCAAAACTTTGTCCACAAAGCTCTGATTGACTCTTAATTCAATGTCACATAAAAGGTATTGCCATGATATTTGCAGGTTTCCTTGCAGATTTCCTTGTCTACAGCACAGGAGACTAAAACGTATCTTAATCACCTGACTAAAGTAAATACTATTAAATAATGGATGAAGTTATCAATCAAATGCTGATTTACCCTGGTCTTTACAAACAGACTATGTAGGACTTTTTGCATTGAATACAAATTTTAAAAAGGTATTGCTGTATTACTAATTGTCATAGAATAAATATGTAAATACTACTTTAGCATAAGGTATTACATACACATTTACTTAACAGGCGTATCAACTTAGATCCAAATGAATTAGAGATCAACTTATAACCCTCATTCTTCACAGAAGTATCAAAAGCAAAAAGAAATCTTTGCATTTCTCTCATTTTCAATTTCTGCTGCTATTCTGACACCAAGTGTCAGGACTGGTGTATGACAGTGGTTGTAAACTACTAAGATGTAAAAAAAAGAATTTGAACATAAATATTTAAAGGTTTTGTTGTTGTGGTGAAGATGGTGATTTTGAACTTACTGTAATTGCAAGCATGCATATACAAACTTATGATTTAAGACTATTTTTAAGTTTTTGTTACAGGAAAATCCTACATAGTTTGGAGAGATACAAAAAATTGAGATAATAAAAGTTGTAACTCAGTCTCTGTTTTGACTCCCTGAGCTAAACCTACTGTCTTTGTTTGCTTGTTTACCACATTGATAAAATTCATAAGAATTAGCAGCAGATATGCATTCCTTCTATTTAAGTACCTCTTGCTTATAGGATGCAGGTGGTAGGTAGAGACAGAGCTTTCCTGTCATGCTTTCTTTCATTTCTGAGTATACCTGCTGCATTATTAGACATCCACAAAACAGCCAGGGAGAAGAAGGGCAGGCAGGGAGCAAAGGAGGTGCTCTGGGGAATCCCGGACAGTGTTTTCTGCAGCCTCCTTCTGCATTAGAGCATGCACACCCCACTAAAGTGTACAGAAATAGAAAGATCTGACACACAGATCAAAGGGGATTACATATCAACAGAGAAAAAGAGAAGTTTCAGGGATCAGCACATTAGTCAAGTGATCCATGCTTAAAAACTGTATCTATGAAACAATTCCTGTACGTATTTTGCATCACCAGGTAATGGCAAAAGAGACTGAGACTAAGGCCCAGGCTGAGGTAACCCACACCAGTATGACTGTCAAAGGAAACAAGATGGAAGAAAATCCATCCATAAATCTTCCACTTAATAAAAATAACTAATAAATGTACTTTCTTGCAGCAGCTGTTACCTTGGGTGGCTGCACTCTGAAAACAAACTTAAAATGCAATGCAACATTGAGATTTTGCAATCCAGTGAGCAAGGTAGACAGTGAGGTCACTCACCAAAAGCTTTCATAGGCTCTATCAACTCCAGCTTAAGCATCTGACCTTTCTTCAGATCTTTTAGCATTTTGGCAACTTCAAAATGCCGACAATCTGACACATTTTGTCCGTTTATAGTCTCTATGTGATCACCCACGCAGATGGTTTTGGTTTGGTCCATAAGGCTGCCTTCTCTGATCCGCTAGTGTTAAAAAACCCACAAACAAACACAGAATTAGAAACACTTCTTTAAAAGGTGCCACCTTTAAGAGGTGACACTACAGAGTTTCAAGAATGTCAGTTAACAACATTAAATACTACTGAGCTTGTTATTCCAGCAGTGTGCTTTGTCTATGAAATTTTCATAAAACATGCATTGAAAGGCATTATTTTTCAAAGTATTTTAATAAGCGTTGAATATAAAATCAGCAGGCAAAGAAAGGGATGCAACAATACTTTAGAAATTAAGGGTTCTGAACACGCTAATATTTTTTGTGCTTTAAAACTGAGCACAGACATGTCAGTAATGTGAATGCTTAATCAAGTTTTTTAATTTTATTGTGATTTAATAGCTTGACAAGCACATGTACAGAATTCTTCTCAAGTATGGTCCAGGGACATAAAAAAAAGTTTGTTATATAGTGAAAATGACAAACAGTAAAGGGTCAGTCTTAATAAGACTGATCTCTAGTGGTAAAACTACCATTTTCCTCATCAGGCTATACAGCTGTATATTAAAGGATTTCCTCTGAAATAATAAAGAATAAGAAAATCTTCTAAACGCCATCTCATGGAAAGTATAAACAGAACAAAATTTAGCATTTATAGTTTTTGTGAAGTGGAATTTAAAAAGTGCGGGAGAAAAAAATCTTTAAAATACCTCTATGATTTATCACACTTCAAATTGCAGTGATTCTGTTCATATTTGTTCATCACGTACATACATCACATAAGCCATTATTCTATGGCTATTTAACAGAGAAGCTATGACACACTAGAATATCTTATATATAGCTGAGATAGGAATTTCATTCTAATATGTTCCTGAATAACAACCTTTTCAACAAAGAGTGACGCTGTTCGGGCTAACTTTGAGTGTGATAACAGTGAGACAAGGGAAATAAACATATTGCCACCTACTACTGTAACACCCAGCCCAGCCACCTAACTATCTCAGAAACCTGCTTCTAGTTTGTGTGCGCATGTCTGAGCCCACATATGTGCCTCCATCTGAGAGTCAGTGGGAAGTGTGATAGTGCTCAGTCTTCTATAATACACTGCAACAATTTTAAGCTCCAGGCTAAGTTTAACTCTTTCTAGCACTCTTTTCTTTAGTCTAGATCAAAACCAAACAGAAGCCTCATGGTGAATTAAGAGGTGGGTATCATACACACCAGAAACCAGGTCCTAAATGCATTTCTGTTAGCAGGATTCAAAAGCACACCCACCAGACTTCGATTAATGCTTAGTCTACATGTAGAATTTGTATTCATTTAGCTTTTCCTCTTCACTTGGATCCCAGCACTAAAACTGTTCAAGCAATATTCAGTTATTTGTGTCATATCAAACTTCGTTTTTCCTATGACTTAGTTTTTATCATCACTCCAAGTTAACTGACCTGAGACAGTCAAGTTACATTGTCACAGTAATTAAGATGCAATTTCTATGCCTGTATTTCAAATGCTCTACAGTCCACTTAGAAGCTATGAGGATCTGTGTTTCCTATGCAATGCCTATCCCATTTGATAATGTCTCCTTGTACACCAGTTAGTCATACTTCAAGTTCTACTGCTATTCTTTGAAGGCTAATTTGATTCCAGTGTACTTCTTCCCATCCGGCCACGTACCCCAAAACAAATGTGTGAAATTAGAATGACACCAAGTTTTGTTCTTGGTAGGGGAAAAAACCCATTAGATTTCATAGGAAAAGAACCTGCAGTTCAGAGTGTCATGTTTAAAACTGGCCAGGTTATGTCTCAGACCTAGAAACCTCCCTGCTATTCAAATTGCAGTAAAATTACTACAGCCCATAACAACTTTGAACAACCCACTGATCAGTAACTCTAGTATTAATTTTTAATAGTAACAAATTTTCAAGGAAAATATATGCATATAAACAAAAAGAATTCTATCAAACTTTAAAGTAGAGACAGTCTCTGCTTAGTCATTCATCTAGACAACCAAGTATACAAAAGAGGCAGCTTTTACTTTTGCATATGTATTTTCTATGCTGCTTTAAAAGATCCATTAGCTAAATATGCAACAACAAAGTAAGCTCCTAGAAACTTCTTAAAATTGATGCATTCCCATGAAGACTGCACCATTTTTATTACACTACTTATTATTAAACCAGTATAAGGAAAATGATATATTTGTTTAGAGAGGTTTTATACAATTTACTGGAAATTACAGCTTGTCTTGCTAATGTGGTGGGGGTTTTCCAGTCTGGTCCAATTATGCAGCAGTCTATGTGATGGCTGTTTTCTCTCCATATCACCAACCAAGCACAGAGACAGTATCACAGTACAGTGCTGCACACGTGAGCGCTGATCACTGAAGCACTGCTTTCAATGCCTGCTCTTAAAATGCCACATAAGCAGCAGCGTGACTGAGTGTTATGGGCTTCATGGATGCCATCACTAGAAATGCAGAGTTCTGTGCCTATAAACATAAAAATGAGTCTATGACTTTGCCAAAATGCTTCCTGAAACCTCCACTGCATCTTGACTTTTTCAAACAAGACCTCAATCACATTTTTCCACAACAAAGACAAGCAAACATATTTCTAAATCATGCCTTGTTTTATATCTGTGGTAGCTAAGGAATGACCATACAAGAAGCTCTGTTTACAATAGTAATGAGAACAGTGATTGGGACGGCAGTAATCAAAGGTAATTGCCAATGCCTCACTAATAATGGATAATTGGAGTAGATTAGAGCAAAGAATCTAAACAAGGCAGAAAATGCAATTAAGGTTCCTAATACCTAGTGTAGCGAGAAGGGTAGCATCATTTCCTTAGCCTCTACTTGTCTCAAAACATACTATCTGTAGGTCATGTAGAAGAGGAAAAGGAAAACAATTATGATGAATACATTGCGCATGTTACTGTCCATAGTTGTTACTTATGTTAATTGTGGCAAATTATGTTAATCCACATCCTTTTAATTCACCCTACCTAACTCAACAATACTGGAAGCTGAAAAAGCACTGTACTTGCCCCTATTCTTGTACAGCACTAAGGCTTCTTCCCAGTGAACAGTCAAAGACTAAAAGAACATGATCTCATTATCACGTGAGTGACAGAAGTTCTATAAGCACCTAATCAATGACATCAGAAAATCACTTTAAAATAGGAGGAGGCAGATGCAAGCAGTATCTAACACCTACCACCTCAGGGTAGGGCGGGAAACACAATGGTCACATTGTAAAGCTGATACACATTACAGAAGCAATGAACAAATGAACTAATTTTGAATGACATGCAGTACAGGAATAGCTGAACTAATTTTGAATGACGTACGTAAAGAAAAGTGACTTTATTCTTTACTTACCATATATATATGAGAATAAAAGATTTTATAGTTCTAAAGGATCATTAAACCAGTAATTATCCTGTTATAGTAACAGAAGCTTCTATAGAACAAAGTATCTCACTGGTAGCTAAGTTTACCTTTATAAATGCACAGCCAGTTCCATTGTCTGTAATGGTAAGCCCTAGCATATCATCAGTTTTAACAACTTCCACTTCTTTTCGTTGTCCTTTCACATGGGCAAATATGAAATCTTCAAGGCCAATTTGTGCACCTAAGAGCTTGTCCATATCAACTTTATGAGTGTTCAAAGTGCAAAACATGATCTGTGTAGGAGAAAAGCAAACACATTAAATTTAACAGTACATTAGGTTTGGTGAGCTTGATAAGAAGATAAAACGAGAGCACAGCTCTCTGACTGATCCATAGCTGAAATGATGACATGATCCTTATCATATCATATGATGATATGAAATGATCCTTTTCCAGCTGTCCCAGGAGAGGTGACAGCCTCCATTCACACATGAGAGGAAGCATCAGTAGCTCAAACTCTGCAGAGAAGAGCAGGGAACATAGGAGAGAGACCGACCTGTGTGAGTAGTCCCTCACGGCCTGTCTCAGTGCACCAACTCTGATACAGACATCTTCAGCTCAAGCAGAACAGCTTGTACCTGAGGTTAGATTGAGCAAACTGAAGAGCCACCACCATCTTTTGCTTTGTTGTTCACCCACCTCAAATTCCACAGTATTCAAAGATCACTATGGACTGGTTTAAAACACAGCTAATTGAAAGCAGTTTAATGGGAAAGAAAGAGAGTTTACCAAAACAAAACGGTCATGAGATAGCATGAAACGTTTTATATTGCTCCATGTGTTCTCCCATTATCTCAGAGCACATTGTCTCCGGTGGGTTTGCTTAGTTTCTACCCTTTCTCCGAAATGAGCTGGGGTCATCTCTGTTTCAGTTCAGTAAAAGCAAGGCTTAAAAATGGCAAAATACTTCTTTATAAATCGGCTTTTCTGAGGAATTTCCCTTCAGCACTGGGTGTCAGGCACTCCTTTTTCTCCCTACATTTATGTTAATGGTTCTTTAACAGGGACCTTTATTGTCCTGGGCATAGGCAGGATGTGACTAATCCAGCTATACTGCTCTGGGCCAGGGATGATGCTTTTGCTCACCATGATGCTGCACTAAGGAATTTGGCTAGTTTGGGCAGGTTTTGGGCTTTCTGCTTTTATAGGTTGTACTGAACAACCCAGACAAAAAATTAAAAACCAAACCAAGCACTCCCCCTCACAGTTAGAGAAACTACACCTACCCAATGCTTTTCCAAGCTGTACCAGCAGAGAAGTGAAGGTCAAGGGAGCCTGCACAGCCTCCGCCTGGGCAGCACCAAAGAGCACAGGGCAGCAGCCAAAGCAGAGAAACTCTGCTCTAAGAGAAACTTGGAGAATCCTTAAAATCTACTTCACCGAGACAAGGAGTGCCCCTAAGACCACCTTTTACATGCAACTGGAATCAGGGGAAAAGGAAGAGACTTGTCCCCCCTCATTTGTCCCTCCAGCACAGCTGGAAAGCCACAGCCACAAGCTGTCAGACAAAGAGTCTGCTGCCAGCAGTATGCACACGGTCATGACAGGACAACAGATAAGAGCAGACACTTTTCCACCCTCTGCCTATATCTGTTGGACATTATTTTTCTTCAGAGCACACCTTGGATCCCCTTGCAAGCCAGTGTCCACTCCAGCTCCAAATCAGGAAGTAGAAAAAGCAGTGCCAATACATTAAAAGAAGTACACAGTGTTAAGCCAGCCTAGCAATCGAGAAAAACAGCAGCAGGAAGTTGCTGTGTCCTTCATCTTTGCTATCACTCTAGTGGCAGTCCCTAGGGAACAGTGGGCCAAGCCAAAACTGCAGGCACAGACCTGGGCCCATGGCCTGCCAAACATTCCGTGGCTTTGCTGGACATGGATGGTCTCCTTCTGCCTTCCCAGGTTCCCTCAATATCCTTGTAAAAATTACAGGTTTTCCACATCAGAACACTTCAAATGCCTTTTCTTGCCTTCTGGCATCACTGGATGACAGCAGAAACATTGAAATGAAAGTCACCAACATGTTCAGATGGATTCCAGGTCAAATGAGGAATGGATACTTTCACTAGCATAAATGTACAAGAGAGCATTTAAGTTTCTGAAGCTTTCTAGAACTTAGATTCTATAACTATTGGGGGTTTGATCTTAAAATCTGAAAGTTTAGTAGAGAGATGGTGTTTCTTGAGGGAGTTCTTGTTTAGTTGTTTCTAAAAACAAACCAAAAAAAGCCCCAAACAGCCCTACTTCAAAAGCTACTTACTTATTTCATCTAATCCACTGCAAACTAATGCCTTATTTAACAAGGAAAGTCATAACAGCATCCCCTTAGCAGACATTAGTTTTGTTCACTCAGGTAATACAAACGTTTTCAGTTAAACAATACTCATGTAGTAACATCACCTACAGAAATTCAGCTGGTTTCAAGCAGAAAATGAAAATTTATTTTATAAGTAATAATAATCTATAATCACATTAACTTTTTTAACCAAGTAGGTTCTATTCAAACAGATGATATGACGTTCACATACATACTTTCAGCTCTCTCAAGGGACATGACTTTGCCACTTTAAAACAGCAACTCAGTTCTTGTTCCTACAATGAACAAGCACTGTCTTTACATTTTAGATATTAGCATCCTTCAACTGACCTTGTCAAACAGACAATCATCTAGTAAATACTGTCACACCTTTGAATAGACAAAATTGGCAACAGAGCAGAAATGTGATATTTAGAAACTCGATCCAGAGTTTCTCTTTTTAGACCTTCATCTGGATGGCATTCCTACTACAGCCTATAAGTCTGCAGAATTTTCTGTGAGTCAGTTCTGTGCTAACCACAAGGCTGAGAGAGCATCAGCCAGTCAAAAATAAAACTTAAATCATTCTTTATCCTCTTTAGTGAACAACAACTTTTTCTCAGAACAGATATATGCAAAGTGTAATGTACTAAAGATGTATCTACCCAGGATAATATACCATTACACCATCTACCAGTTACAGCACAGCTTTATTTGTACACAACTGAGACCTGTCAATTCAAAGTATATTTTTTGTAGATTTTACATACGTTTAATATTGGTACCTAATAAATTATATACTTAAATACTTAAACAACAGCTTCCACTCACTCAAAACTTGGCATACTTGTAATGACTATTTTTTTTATCCAACAATGAAGCAAGAAAAGAATTCAATATGCAATTTTCATTGTTAAGTCTTTTCTCTCCTTGCCCTAAACCTTTATATGCATTTGATCTTTAACCCAGCATACCAGTGCTGTGATATTTCATGCCACGTTTAGCAAGATATTATAAATCAGAACTGTTACATCAGTCACAAAGTATCTAGGATACCTCCTTCACCGAGGGTTATCTTGTGCAGCACACAGAACAAGGAAATTCCATTCAGCTGGCAGGGTCTTGGGACTTATGCATAACCTTATAAAATAGATTTGTCAGATAAGACTACTAACAGATTATTCCCTGCTCAGTATTCTCAATTGGAAGATAGCACATTAGCCAATAAAACCAGGGTTATACTGTGTGCTATAAAAAGAAACTATTAGCTAAGCAAAAGAAGGTTACATGCTGTGTTATATAAAGTGTATATGCAGTACCATATTGCATATCCTACACATTAATTACATTCTCATCTTCCATATTAAGTCTATACCTCGAGAAGGACTCAAAAATAAGTTGGCTGATAAATTACATACTCAGAAGTTATTAAAAATGCTTTTGAAATCAGTAGATCTCAGATAACTTTGCAGAGGAGAACCATAATCACTTTCTCTATTTAAGAGGTAGGGAAATGCAAATTCTCATTCTGAGCAAGATGTGACACCCACTGACATATTTCCCTATATATATAAATGTCATCATATCAAGAAATCACCAACACATTATCTAGGTATCTTACTTTATGCTCCCTGAGGAAACTGTGGGAGCCTTGACTAGCTGCAGCAACAGGAAGAGCAACCAACTCCTCCAAATCCTAGGCTGCTTTTGGTACTCTATCAGGTATGCAACTTTGCTTCCCCAACTACATTCATAGGATTATAAAATAAGTGTTCAGTCTAAGTTCTTCCATACAAGTATTTCCATACTCATATTTCAAATACTTTCAGTAAAAGACACCATTGACACAGCTTGACACTGCTTGAAAAAGACACCATTAGCACAGCAAGCATCACATGTAATATGGGTGTGATGTTTAAGCACTTCTTAGGCAAACAGCAAGCAAACAATTGTTGCCATAGGGTTGGGAGGAGGTGGTTTGTAGGGAGTGTTAAGTTTGTTCATGTAAAGCATTCAATCTGTAGGCAAGATTGTGAGCAATTTGTTTCAACAGATAAGCATATACAATAAAACTTCCAACACTTTAGTGATGAGGGTTTCCCAAACTGAACTTTCTCTCTAAAATACACTTCAGATCTTTCCTTGTTATAAGGACAATTTTGTTCAGAAATATAAGTTTCAGCAGTGGCTCATTTGTCAGTAAGTCTTTCATAAAAGTTTAAATTGAACGGGTTTAAATCAAATACTTCTATGAAAGTTTAATGTGGCACAACCTCACAGTATACTTGACTATTTAGCATGAGGAGGCAAGGCCCATGGAACAACAGCCCACACACAAGCTCAGCAGCTGAACTCTTGTTACTGGAATAGACAGAAGGAGCTGCATTTCTGCCTGTACTGCTGCCAGAAAGGTCTCCCTTTTCCTGTATTTCCCTATGAAGCAATTCACGTTCACATGAGTTTCGTTTCATAAGAAATCCCAACCTCCACGGGCTCTTGACAGACACACCCACTGTGCATTCAGCTTACCTCACCAGCCCCACTGTACTTCACCTTTCAAAGCAAACAAAATAATCAAAAGTGAAAATTACGAGGACACAAACCAAAAGTCTGTACAGCTTCTCAGCTTTACAATTCCCTTCTCATTTGATTTTAAAAAATAGCCCTGCTACAGCTGGTCTTTAATATCCACATTCTCAGTGCCTGATTAGCTACTCTGAATACCTTAAAGCCCTACCATGTGCTCTCACAGGAGCACACCACTAGCAAATGCTTTAACAGACCCACATTGTCCTTTGGTCAGTGCTGGTTTATTTATCATTCAGGCTGCACTTAGCACTTTTACCCTTACAGGGAACTTATATTTCTCAACAGTCACAGTGGAATAGTAATCCTAAATGGTCAAGCTACAGATAAATACTTTTTCCAGCTACTTTTCCTATTTTATCCTCCATATAAAACATAGGGGTACATATATTTCCATTATTTATGCAAATTGAAACAACCATGTAATTGTAGATGGGTTGTATTGTTAGTTAAGAACTGCAACTATAAATATATATATTTAACTCTATGCTTCTGTGTTGAAAACCTATTGAAGCAATCAAGTTAAAAGAACAATCTGATCTACTTCAAACAGGGCTCGTCTTAGTAATACAGGCAATCCATTGCTAGAAGCCATATTCACTCCTCCTCCCTGTGGAAAGAACATTCACATTAGACCAGGAAAAGAAGAAATGCTGGTCATGGTAAAAGTCAAAAGAGCTAGGCAGAAAGGCAGGCTAAGTATCAGCTGCACAAGGGTTTACTGAGATATAAATTCACCTAGGAAGATGGATTAATAAAGTACCTAGACAATAAAGGATGAGTATGGCAAAAGTCTCAGAGAGCTGCTGTTATTTCTCACTCCATCACAGGAGTGAAGGAGAGTCCCCTTCGAAGCTATACCTGTCTTGTTCTGTCCCCATCCTACCCTCTTCATGATCCAGGTCTGCACAGAAGTTTCTGTCAATGTCTGTCCAACAAATACTGTGTTTTATATAAACTTCTCTGTGTCACTGTTGGCAGTCAATTACAGAACCTGGAAAGGATTCTCCAGCAGAAGCTAAACTCAGCTGGTCCTGTGAGATGTGATCCAAAGAGGAAATGAGGTGCTGTAACCATGCAGAGTCAAAAGGAGAAGCGACAGACTACAAGTACAGCTCATTCTGAATCATATTAAAACACTCAGGCAAGAACTTATCCAAGAATCCATACCCTTGCCTACACTGCAGTAAACTCATAAATCATATTAAATGTACTCACTTCCGCAAAAGTTACCTGAATTGCACTGAGCTCTTCCTCTCCCCTCCCCGCCCCATTTTCCACCTCAGTCACTACAGGATAGAGATCTCTGTGATAGTACCTGTCTTTCCAAAGGCATTCAGGTATCACACTGCCCACAGGGCTTCAGCACAGCTAGGTCACAGAAACTTTCCTAGACAGATAACAAACTACAAATGGCATTTGAGTGCCTCCCTATTTTTCAATTTGATGAGATGTAGCTTCAGCTTTACACCAGACTATCTGTTCCAAAGCAGCTTTAATGAATAGATGATACCATTTAAAATAAATAAATTCACATTTCATAGCAGTTCTTGCTGTTCTCTGATCTATTCTATCTTATTGTGTCCACCCAAAATTCTGTTGCAAGATCCTCTGGTTAGGTGCTTCACTCTACTGTGCCACCTTTACACTGAGAAGTATTTTTGACCACTATTTTCATTTCATACAACTTAGTTTCTTAAAGCCAGCTGAATTTCTAGAGAAAAATATTTTAAGTTCAGTGCCTCCAGCAACAATTCTCCATCCATTTTTAAACGACATTAAAAAAAACCCCACAAACGAAAAAAAACACAGAACGGAACAGTAGAGAGAAAAGAAAGTATGAAATTTCCCTAGTTTGGCACAAGACTGGCAATACATGCCCATGATACATGCAGTGCTTCCTCTAAAACCTTTGATGGTGTCAGATTATACACCTCGCAGGAGAAACAGGAGCACAGCATTCATACAAAATTAAGTTTCCTAATGAACACTGTTCGTTCTGAACGCAGTGGAGCTGAAAGTTCAATAATGAAAGGAAGAAAACTAAAATAGAAGACAATCTGGCAATTATGAGAACTTGAGAAGAAAAGGTATAACTGAGATGGAATCGAACAAAAGGGGAACAGCAGCTCAGTATGGAGAGAAAACAAAGCAGCAGAAGGTCAGAAAACAGCTGTGAAGGTCTGGGACGTAAGTGCATTGCCTGGCAATGGTACTGGTACTTCTTAATTACTTAATGCAATGGTGACTGGTTAAACTGTGCTCACTGCTACTGCCGCTTTGCTTTTACAATTTACCGTTTGAAATCCTGCTAGGTCAGGCTACAGCAAACTCTCAGAACAAAGCCTGCAGTAGTAGTAGTCCTTACAAGTTTAAAAAAAGGCAGGTACAAAGAAGAAAAGTAGCAAAGCTGTAAAGCCACAGCAGGCATAAAGAAATGGTAGCACTTTGTTTCCATTTGCGACTCAGGGGTTAAGGTTCACAGAACTATGTAGGAAGAACTTGATATGGCCACTACCTTTTAACTAAGAGAAAACAATGCATCTACAAACACAAATGAATCGTTATCCAAACAAATGTTTAGAACACGGCTCAGGAAAAAAAAAAAAAAGATCAAAAAGGCAGCAGGGTTAAAAAAAAAATCCCCTGTTACAGACTTAAATAACCTCACTTGAACAGTGGGCCTTTTAAAAGTAATTACCTAACAAAGCACAAAACTTTCCAAACATCACGTTCAGCTGGAGCTTGACAATGTAGTCAGAGTATTTATACCCCACGCCCTCCCCTCCCACCGCCTTCAGTGCGGACATTTCCCCGCGTGGATCCATCGCCCCTTCGTTTCGCCGCAATGTGCCCGGGCGCCGTGTCAAACTGCAGCCTGCCAACAGGTTCACCGAGCCGCTGGGCATGTTTTGGTGAAGGGCACCACTGTTCTTCCATGTACGACTTAAACGCAGTTACATTTATGTCTTTTCCCTTACGGTACTGCTCATTTAGAACAGCAAAATGAATTTTTTTCTCCCAAAACCGTATCCGCCAGCTTTAGTGGGAGGCTGCGCGGGGAGCAGCGAGCGGTGCCTACCTCGCCGGGGTCGATGCCGAACGCCTCCCCGATCTTGGCGTAGAGCTCCCGGGCGCTGCCGAACCCCTCCACGCGGC